GAACTAAGTGGAAGAGCAACAGGTTGGGGCTGATTGAGGTAGGGCCAGAGCAACCAGAAATGGGAGGTGATATGGAGCTCCTTAAGGTTGTGGAAGGAGTCATGAGTGATCACTCAGTATAGAAATGCTTTTGCCTCTCTGCTGAGGTCTTCAGTGACAGGACTTTTCAAAGACTGCCACAGGAGAAATGCTGAGCTTAATCACCTGCCGGACTCACAGGGCTCAAAGCCCCCCAGCCAAGGAACAACCCATCCTCCTGCCTTTCCTGTGTCCACAGCTTTGGCCTGGGTGCGGTTAAATCACAACTACTATTTGGGGGAACAGGGAGAGAAGAGAGACTGCCCACTTCTCCCTCCTGGAAAGCAGGCAGCATCCAACTACAGGACTTAGTGTTGGGTGGTGATGGCAACATCAAGGAGACACCGACCTTTATTTAGCGATTTTGCCTGAAACTTATTCTGTTAGAGAATTGAAACTATATTTTGTAACTTAAAGTGAACTCAGGACCATGATTATGTAAAAATGAGCAGAAAAATCATAGGATTTACCCAAATCCCATCCCCAGGCAAAGAAAGATTACTTGCATGAACTATTTCCCCCTACTATCCTTTTAAAAAATATATCTTGATATGTCACTAATCAGGCTTTAAAAAACTAACTAGTTACATTGTTTTCTAATAATCCTGTAGACACTTTAAAAATAAATTTGCCATGTATATTAGAGCATTGTTGTAGATAGTGTCATAAGCTGATCGGACAGTCACTCAAAAAGCCCTGTTTTCTTGCTAGAACCTTCTATTATGGAGGCTTGGTTTTCCCTGCCTTCCTTGCAGCTCGGGCTGGCCAATGAGCGAGGAATAGAAGTCTGCTGGGAAAATTCTTGTTTTTCTGCTAAAGCAGGTAGAACTGTTTTCTTCCCTTCCCCCCCTTCCTCCTACATTGAATACAGATATATTAGAGCTGTACAAGCCATTTTCGGACAAGGTGAGAGAGTCCCAAAACATCACTGGGAAGTAGTTCTTGACATTGTCAAAGAATGGCATTCCTCCAGACTTCCTGATGTGTGAGAAAAACAAACCCTTATCAGTTTAGCTACTGCTAGTCAGGTAATCAGTTACTTGTAGCCCAAAGCATTTTGAACAGACCCCAAAACAAAACAAAACCTCGTTGACTGATGTTAGGAGTGGATGAAGATGCCATTGACCTATATGCAGTCATTCATTCAACTCTCAAACATCTTAGCAACATTTATTGAATATTACTCTGTCCTTGGCCCTTCAGGTACAAAGAGGAATGCAAAGGTGCTCCCATTGCAATGAATAAAAATTAGTAATAGCCAATAAAATATGATATGTGCTATAATTCCAACAGTGAATATACAATGTACACAGTAGATTGAAAGAATCAGCCCAGAAGACTCAGATAAAGCCGGGACAAGTGGTCATTCTTGGATAAAGACCTAGGGATATATCTGATGGAAAGTGATGGGAAGGCAAGTGCAAGTAGGTGAGGACAATGCAGGCAGGGTACAATGGGGGGAGTGAGGCAATGTGAAGTGATTGTATTCTGTGAATATTCTAGTTTCATAGTAATAGTGCTTGGGCTCTGGAGTTGGACTACAGAGCCTGGCTTTCCTACTGGGTCTCCCACTGATAGCTCTGGAGCTACAAGTAAAATGTTTAGTTTCATTTTCTTTATCTGAAAATGAAGGTTTTATGTACTTTGTGGGTTGGGCAGATCCAATGACTTAAATCACAGAAGGATTTTAGTAGGTGTCTGGCACATTATAAGTATTCACTAAGGGTTTATTATTATTATACATATTATTATAAGCTGGTCATGGAGACAGACAGTGGGGTGGCCTCAGAAGAATCTGAGAAGGTTGACCAGGGCTTGGCTGTGATGGGCCTTATACGTCATGCAGAATAACTTGAACTTGACCCTACAGTCGTCAGGAAACTCTTGCAGATTCTGCAGCACAGAGGTCAACAAGGGCTAACTAGTTGTCAAACCCTACCGGCAATTTACCTATGTGATACTTGGCACTGCTGATTCTTTCCTTGAAGGTTTTTACTTAATCTCACAGATACCATTTTTTTCTTGGTTTTGTTCCTATTCTAAGTCTTGTCTCCTTCCAAATCATCCTCAGTCCTGCCACCTGAGGAATCTTTATAGTGTAATTATGATCACCTAACTGGATTAAAATCTGAAAGTGGCTCCCATGTAGCTCCAGCGGTAGCATGAAGGAGACTTCATGACCATATTCCCACAAACTGCTATTGGATCATATTTCCTGTACCTCAACATGAATCCTACTCTCTGACCCTGTCATATGGAGCTACTTGTAATTCCTCAGCTTTATTGCTATTTTTTTGACTCCATGATCTTGTAGGTGCTATTTGCTCTCCCTGAGAGATTTTTTCCTTTTTCTGTTTGGCTTATGATTTTTACTCAATTTTTAGGACTTCAGTGTTCTAAAGCATGCCCACAATATCCTCATCTTTTTATTTTCAAGCTAAACAGCCTTGTGCTGACTCATTAAACAAAGGAGTAATGATTTGTCTCTCTTTTGTCTTTACATAACTGGCGAACATTCTCTAGAAGGGACTAATTTATTGTTTCCCTCTGATCAAAGATATGCTATTAGGCACATTCCATTTCATAAAATCATGAAGCGTTATTTCAGGAGAAATTAACTCTCAGCCTTGTGCTACACTTCGAAACTGCAGTCCAAACAGTGAGAATGAACTGGAATAAAGGAAGCCCAATTACTATGTAAGAATTTTTACATTGGATTGGACTGGTGTTTTGGTTGTTACCCTGGATAGAGTTTTCAATTACTAAGATGAGTCATTTGAGGGACTGAATGGGACTGGATAGTTTTTATGATCTAGGAATGATGGGAAAGCTAGGGCCCAAGCCATACTGGTTCTGTCATCCAGGGAAAGGGAAAGAAAGCACCAGGGCAAAGTAAAACAGGACTCCTGAGAAGGAATAACATTGTTTTCTGCTTTTATCCTGCTGAGTCTGGCCTGTGCGATAAAATAATTTTATTTTACTCATCTCTACAACTGAAATAGGCTCAAAGGGTGGTCCCATGACTCCCTGTTTTTTACGAAGTCTGGACTCATTCATTCTAAAAGAAGAGACTAAAGTTTTGGCTTCTTGCTCTTCTGCATTTTACAATATGCTCCCACAGAATGAGTTAGGGCTCAGCTACACATTTATTAGAATACATCATTTTTGCAAATTTCTTTCTCATCTTAAATAGTGGTGAAAGTTCAGGAACAAAGATATTTATTGGTCTGTACACTTTTGAAAAAATTAAAATACCCTTGTAAGTATCAGTAGGGTTGAATAGCCTAAGACATTTCTTCTCAATGGAAAATTAGGCAGTTATTAGAAATTCAATTTATACAGTGATAATAATGTTGAAAAACACTATGTACCCATAGTAATCATATAAAAACCCCTTAAATTAATGGTAATGGATAAAAATGTTTTTGTATTGGGGTGTTAGAATTATGTGTAATGTTTGAGCTTCTATCTACTTTTCTGTATTTTCCAGATATTTTTTCATTCCTTTATTTCTCCCTTTCTTTCGGCCCCACTTCCTTTATTGAATTCCTTCCTTTCTTGCTTCCTTCCTTCCCTCCCTCAGTCCTTCCTTCCCTCATATTTATTGAACATCTGTTCTGTGTTAGGACCTCGTTCAGGCTCTGGGAAGCCATCAGCAAATAAGAGAAGACATCAATTTCAGCTTTGCTTTTGTCAGCAGGTTGGAGAATGGGTTGGGGAGGAGAGAAGTTAGAGGAGGGGCAACAAGTGGGAGGTGATGGTACCAAATCCAGGTCAAAGATGCACATGGACTGCAACAGTTGCTCTAGCCCCCTTTCCTCTCATATAACCTCTTTCTGGATAACTTCATTCTCCTGTTTCATTCAGGCCTTTTCTCAAATGTCAGTTCTTAGAAAGGAATCCTAGGACCATCTTAGCTCTTTTCCTCTCTTACCTTGTCCTGCCCCAACTCCCTTCCCCCACTTTTAAATAGTACTTATCCCTACTTGGCTGACATCATAGGATGTATATATTATTTGTCTATTTGTTTATTGTTGTCTTCCTTCCCTAGAACGCAAGCATGAGATGAGGACTTTGTTTTCACTGTCATTTAGAAATGTGTCCTTTCAGTCTTGTCTGACTGAAAAAGTAAATATTAGTTCATTAACGTTTTCTGGCCTAATCTTATACTGAGTTAGTGTTCTCTAATTGATTGTGCTTGCTTGTTCCAACTATGGAAAGAGCTGCATGATTTACAGACTTTCCCTTTTAAATATGGTTATGGAAAGGGATGGAATAGCTGTCTGGGTACTCTATTATTGATAACGAGTTCTGAGTAATAGTTTTTGTGCAAGAGGGGGAGAAGTGATAATTGAAAAACAGTAATTAACATCATTTTTGGTGCCAACGCTAAAATTTAATTCTATTCCAGGTATTTAAGCAAGAAGCACCCAAGTTTACTTGTTCAGGACATAGCCTTTGAATTGTCTTAATAGATGTTGCCCCTCCCCCCCCTTTTCGATGTATCTCATCTATACCTATGAGAAATAAGCCAGAGGAAAAGACTGATATTTTCTGAAGCTTCATTCAGCTACGTGCACTTTCAAATTCCAAGGCAACGTTAGTTACTTTTGGGTGATTCCATCAACTTTAAGACTCTGGTCTCTGATTTCAAGGAGCTTGCAGCTGTGATGGGAAAACACTTAGGCTACCAACAATAAAAGGTAATGTTGCCAAAATAAGTTACATATATTTTAACATGTCATAGGATATGTTCATGTATATCATCATCTATTACTTTCTTATTGGCACTCCTTCCTCTAGCAAACTGAACCACTGATCCTACTTTTGTGCCTTAGAAAGAAACGGGAAACCGTGAAAGACACTTGGTTCTGCAATCACCACGTTTCCCGCTGTGCCTAAGAGGCCACCATAAATCTTACTTGGAGATGCTTCCAGAGGTTGAAAGTCTTTAGAGGCGAAGGAGACGTAGGCCCTAGGAACGTCTAGTTCTGCATTTCTCGGTACTGTTGAACTCCACCAGGGAAAATACACGTCTTCCCTCAATGTGTGTTCCGCATATACAATACAATTAAGTGTTTCAGGTCGTCCCGGCCCCGGCGTGGTTGCCCACGCGCGGCGCGGGGCGGGGCCTGCAGGCTGGGCGGGGCGCCCACGCCGCTAACGGTCCCGGCGGGCGGGCGCGCGCGTGCCCGCGGGCGGCGCCTCCAGGGGCCCTGCCGGCCGGGAGCGCGCCGCCGTTGCCGGCGCTCGCCCCGCCCCCGCCGCCGCGGCTTCCTCTCGCAGTTCCAGCTCGGCTCGTGCCGCTGCTCCCGGGGCTGCTGCTGAGCCCGGCCGGGGCGGCGCCCGCCTGCGCCATGAGGGTCCCGCGCTCCGGGCCCGCGCCGGGCCTCTCTGTGCGGCGGCGGCGGCGGCCGTGAGTAGGCGCGACGCGCTGGGGCGGACGCGGGCCGGCGCTTGGCGAGGACGCTCGCGATGGGGGACAGGTAAACCCTGCCGGGGCCGGGCCGAGCCCAGGGCCGCGAGGCTCCCCGCCCCCGGGACCCCGGGCTGGAGGGCCCCCACGTGGCCCCTGCTGAAGGTCCTTTTGCCTTTTGCACAGGTGGCTCCGGGTGACCGTCCTCCCCGGCTGCGTGGGCTGCAGGACCGTGGCCGTTCAGGCGTCCTGGACCGTGCGCGACATCAAGGAGCGCATCTTGGCCGAGACGGGCTTCCCGGTGTCGGAGCAGCGGCTGTGGCTCGGCGACAGGGAGGTATGGCCCGTCGATCCCTTCTCTTTAGTAGGACGCTGGGCCCGCCTCTGTGCTCGGGGTTGTAGCGCATTCACTAGCTATCAGTAGGCTCGCTGAGAGTGAAACTGAACCGGTTTTATTCTTACGTCCTGGAAGGTAGATGCTCAGTTAATGGTCACCCTGGAAATAATGCTTTGTAAGTAACATGAACAAAATCACACGGGTATGTTATCATCAAATTTTATTTGATTTACCATTTCAACATTTGTGTCACCCTGCCCCCTGCCCGCCCTTTTGTCTGAATCTTCACTTCCTGAAATTAAGATAGTTTTTCGGTGGGCATTGTAGTCAGAGGGTTTTTGTTGTGGGTTACTTGTTTTGAAGTGACTTAACCATTACTCACGTTTTTCCCAATTGTGTTGGACATTAAGCTGGAATAATTTTCACCTTTAATGTCTTAGAATTTTCCCCTCAGTTTGAATAATAGAAATTTAGGGCTGAAAGTATCTTCAGACTATGTTATAGAGGCTGTTATTTTGAGGAATACATTCTCATTAAAACTTTTGAGCTGCAAATGAATGAGATCAAAACTTTGGAAGATAGCAGTATTTCATATTGTCATATATATCCCTTAAGGTGAGTGAAAAAACTAAATTTTCTCAAAGGAGGAGTTAAATTTTTACTGAGAAATAACTTATTCTTTGATCCTAAAAATTTATTCACTTTTTATGAGATAAAAGATCATTTCCAGGATTTAAAAGAGGTAAAAATGTTAAACAAATATATAAGGAATACTGAGCCATACAGAATAACATTTCAAGTGTTGGATTTGTACCCAGTACAAACACTGGTGAAGTACTTGATACCTGTGATTTTTAATCCCTCAGTGTAATCTTGACCTGTGTACCTGGGTCCATACCATGGTCTCTTGACCACTTAGACACAGATTTCCAGTTGAACTGCTCTTACGTTCCTCCACAACTCAGCCCTCCTTACCAGCTCCCTGAAGTGTTTGGTGGCATGCAGACAGTGGCTTGATTGAGGACATTGGACAGAATTGAGGAGCAAAGCTTGTCATTCTTACCTCTTTTTCTGGGCCCATCTCTGTCTCTTCCTTCCTGTGTATACTCTTCTGGTTCTATACCCCCTTCTTTGGTTACTCCTCTGGGTCTGCTTTGTCATTTTGTCCCTTACATGTGGTCCTACCAAGAGGCTCAGTTGTGGCCCAGTCTTGCCATTAGAAGTGTTTTTGGAGGTATCTGTGCAAAGCATTGATAGTGGGAGGTGAGTGTGGCTGTGGGGCATAGAGTGTTTCAGATTGAGTGGATGGGTGGGTGGGGGTCTGGTTAGGAAACTTGTGCTGTCCTGAGCTAGGGAGGTTCTAGACTATGTCTGTAGAGGTGAAACTGAAAGGAAAGGATGTACAGGAGACTTTGTAAAAGTAGAATTTTGGCAGTTTGGTACCAAATGGGTGTGCATGTGTCTATGCTTCCGTGCATGTGTGCAGTGTAATGGGGTAGATGTAGAATAAGATGGAAGGTCTTGCCAAGGATATTCACAAGCCTTGAGTCAGACCTAGAAATAATGGAATTCTGAATATGTCAGGGTAGGCAGGAAACAAAAGCTGTTGAGGACTCCTTGTCACTCGGTGGTTTTGGTTGGTACTGAGCATAGTAAGCAGTAGACACTCACCCTGTCCTCCTTCTTTCTGGGTCTGCCATCCTCTTTCTCGTTACCTCTCTTGTTTCCCTGGCCTGGAAATGGAATTTTTAAGTTCTTCACTTTACCTCCTGTCTCATGAAGAGACTGAAGCTATTCATTATAGCTGTGCATCTTCCTGATCCTTTTTCCTCTTGTACCAAATGTGGTCGAGCCTCAAATCAGGAGGTTTGAATTATTACTTAACTTTCCTGTCTCTTAATTGATCAAAAAATGTCCTTTTTGTCAACTCTTGAATCTCAGAACCTCTTTGTGTCCTTGACCACTGAACAAAGGAAGAAGTGCTGGGAGAGCCAACGGTAATTAATATTGTATTGTTTGTGTAGTAATTTGGAAAGAGTTACTGTTTCATAGTAAATGAAAATGAGCATCTCTGAGGTTTTTGAGGGAGGTTGAGGCTGGCATGGACAGAGATCCAGATGTTCAAATCATTTTACAATCACTCTGTTTTAAAATATATGTATAAAGACTGAAATGGGCAACTTTTAAGATTTCATTGCTTCTGGAGATGAATAGGACTAGTGTCACTTTGCTCGGTTGGAGTGATTTTGGGTCTAGGAAGAAGAGAGGCCCAAGCAAAATCCCTTAATCTTGGCAGACTCAGGAGGAGAAAGCTGATAGCACTGCTGAGGTCAGTTATCTGTGCTGCTTGATTTCTCTTTGGGAGAATCACTTGCCTGTAGATAGGTCACTGATTACAGTCCACCAAAAGCCTTCACAGTCAGACTCACATAGCCGGTTACATCTGTTTTTACTAACATGATTCTACTCTGTGTCTTCTTCCTTTTCAAGTCTTCTTTAAGACCTGCTGACTTCTTCCTGCATTAAAAGTTTCCTTCCTTCCTCCCGTCTGCCTTTCTTTCTTCAGATGTACCTTAGCTATTACTAAAATTGGACCAGTAATCCTTGGCTTATGCATGGCTCTCTTTCAGTAATTAATCAGTTAGTTAATTAACTAACAATGGAATGAACAACCAAGATGACATCCTCCAACTGAAGAACGGGAGCACTGTTGATAGTTTATATTTACCTCTGCTTCTCCTCCCCAGCCCGTGTTCCTCTCTTTTTTCCTTTACCCCTTCGTGTTTATTATTTTGTTGCCTGTTTTTGTAGTTGTTTTAGTAGTTTTATCATGTGTGTGTATGTATGTATGTATATAATGTACACCTGTGTACGTATATATCTATATATGTGTATGTGGATGTCTATAAACATATGACCTGAATGATAGACTGTTTACTTTTAGTTGTTTATGAATTTTATAAGAAGCTTGTTATTCCATATGTAGTAACCTGGAATTAGCTTTTTTCACTCAGTATTATGTTATGAATATTCACTCTTAAGTTATGTGCAGTTTAGTTAATCCATTTTTCTTTGCTATATGATACTCCACTGTATTAATATGTCATGGAATTGGGTTGTTTCTGAACTTTGTGTGGTTTACAACACAAAATAATTACTGTTTTTAATCCATATCTTCTGTGCAGGGAGTTTTTTCAGGCTTGCTTTAAGATTCAGTGGGAATATGTATATGAAAGTGCTTTATAAGCTGGGAACTGTCCCAGTGTGCTCAGATATGTATTTTAGAAATGGGGACTAGAATGATGATACACAGAAAGTAAGGAGACCAGAAAAGTGATTATTATAAAAATCCAAGAAATATTGGGAGTCTGAGCAATTGGAAATGGGAGAACAAGTTAGGTCTGAGAGAAATTGAGGATGGACTTGCTGGAACCTGGAGGGTAACTGGATATGTAGTTTGCAGAGAGAGAGAACTTCTTCCCACGTTTCCCTTTAAAGTGAATAGGTAGAAGGTACCACTGTTAATTGAGATACAAAGTAAAAATGAGTAATAAGGGTTTGGAAGGAAATCCAGTGAGGTCACTTTTGACAGGTTGAGCTTTAGGAACCTTGAAAGATATCAGTGTGGGATGGGTGCTAGACAGTTGGAAATACTGAATTTTTGATATGGTAAATTACGTCATTCACACCCTGTTGAGGAGTGTAAGTTACGAAGGTGATTCTTCACGTGAGCTTTTGAGTAATGTTTTGCAGACCCAATGGGTCTGTGGGAGGTCATTCCATAGTAGCACTTGAGTGGACTGCTGGGGAGAAGGTTGATCTGGCTTTGGCTTCTGAGCAGTACACTTTGGAAATGTGAAAAGAATGATTTTGTTTATTTTAATGATTCTGATTAATCATAAAAAATTTAAGTTATTTTATTTTTTTATTTTTTTAAAAATAATTTTATTTATTTGAGAGAGAGAGTGAGAGAGAGAGAGAGCACAAGCAGGGTGAAGGGCAGAGAGAGAAGCAGACACCACACTGAGCGGGGAGCCTGATGGTGGGGCTCGATCCCTGAACTCCGGGATCATGACCTGAGCCGAAGGCAGACGCTTAACCAACTGAGCCACCCAGGGGCCTCAAAAAATTTAAGTTATTTTAAAGCAGATCTTTATTTGTAATTATTTAAGGATAAATCCTTTAGTTAAGTTTAAGTTAAAATCCTTTAGGTTAAAAAAATCCTTTTAGTTAAATAAAATTGTTGACTAAATTTCTGTTTTTTGAAATATTCACTTCTCCAGAGCAACTTATTTCCTGATGAGAACAGTTAACAAGCATTATTTCTTAAGTG